TAATTTAAGTAGTTTTCACTCATAAGAATTTAATTATCAAAGGCAAACTAATTTACAATCAGTTTGATTATCAGTAAAAGGAAAATCACTTGTTCAGTTAGACTTGAAAGATGCTTTCAAATCCATTTAAATTCAGGGATTATTCCTTTATATTTAATGATTTTTGTCCATCTTCTGGAAATGGTACAAAAAAGGAATGGAGATCACTCCAAAAAACTCTTATTTTAAGACAGTTCCCCCCACTTTTTTTAAGGAGGCAGGGAAAGCACACTTTGTTCTTTCTTGTTGTAGATGGACACAATACCTTTATTTCAAATTTTATGTGGTGCTGAGGATAAAACCCAGTGCCCAGTGAGCTACAAACCCAGCCCCAGTTTTCTCTTCTTTGAGCTGGATGTCTCTACATTGCTGAGGCTGGTATGGAACTCCTGAACTCGCGCAATCATCCCTTTTCCCTGCTTCACTCAGCTTCTTCAATAGCTAGGACAGGCTCCGCCTACCTCCACACCTGCCCCCGACCCTTTTATGTAAGACCTAATTACATATATTACAAAAACACAAAATCCTGTTTTTTTTTTCCATTTTTGAGTTACTCAAAATTAATTACTCAAATTATCATACATAGGAGAATTATTCAAATTATCCTTTGCATAATGCAAAAGATTTTCCCTAGAATTCTAGTCCCATAAAATACTTAAATTTTTTTTTTAGTTGTTGATGGACCTTTATTTTATTTATTTATTTATATATGGTGCTGAGAATTGAACCCTGTGCCTCACACATGCGAGTCAAGTGCTCTACCACTGAGCCACAACCCCAGCCCCCATAAAATACTTTGAATGTAATGATTAAAATCTTCGAAGTCTTACAATATTGATGTATTAAAGCCTTTAACGCTAAAGAAACGTTTTCTCAAACTTACATCAGACTAAGCTATAAAGAACTAGTGATGCATGAAATGCACTTTGGGAATCTCTTGTTAGGATTTTTTTTTTTTTTTTTGGGGGGGGGGGGCAGGAATATAGAACATTTTTAGCAGAAATTGAAATAATTATGCCATGGTTTCAATGAGTCTCCTCCAAAATTCAGATATTAAGAGCTGCTACATTTAAGAGGTGATTAGGGCAAGATTCCTTCTTCATATAAGAGTGTAGGTGCCCCTTCAAAGGGGCCTGATGGAGGTAGTTCTTTATTGCTATTCCACTTTCAGCCACATAAAGACATAGCAAAAAAGCCCTCACCAGATGCCCACACATTCATCTTAGACTTCCCAGCAACCAGGACTATAAGAAAACAAGTTTCTGTTCTTTATAAATCACCCAGTATCAACTATCCTGTTAAAACAGCAAAAATGTACTAAGGCAGTGAAGTTACTAGATCAATTTTTTCATAAAAGACAGTAATATTTACTCCATTACCATGGCACTATGGTGGTTGTGGCGTGGGGCTATAGGATCATGCTGTATTGAAGATTTAACTATTTAAAAATTATTAGTGACTATCAGGTGTTAGACTTGTGTTGGGGTACATGTATCTGATGAAGTAAAATGTGTTTTTAGAAATATTTAGATACAATGGAACTCTTATTGAATATTTATTATATTTTATCCATCGCTGTTTTAAAAAATTTTTCATTGGAAAAATGTATGATATAGATGAAGGAGCTGTGAAAGTTAATGTAACCTCTAAGTAACTTAGGAATTGAATCTAGGCCTGTCCACCCTGTATTTTGCCAATTCAAATAGCCTTACTAGTCAGTTCTCAGGGCAGTGCAGTTATGATCACGCATACCAATGAGAAGCTCCACTACTAATATATCTTGAACATTAAAAAAAAAATTTTTTTAAAGCCTATCTTGGCAACATAGACAGAAATGAACAATACCAAACAATAAGTACAACACTGCTAACACTAAGAAACACCAATGACTTACCTCAGACCTCAGTTCACTCTTGTGCTAGATGTTAAAAATAACTGATACACAATGATGAGCTCAGTAACCTGTAGATTTATGTGTTTGAGATCTTAAAAATAATCCATAGCTTTGAAATGAGAAATAACTAGCCTGTGACTATGGTTCCACCCTTAGTAATGAAGGGAAACAAAAATTCAAAACACATTCTATTTACTCTTCTTAAACTACTTTTATCTATCCTTAGATTAGAATCAAGCCTCAATATAAAAACACTATAAATCAAATATTCAAAGAAAACTTACATTAGAAATTAATAATTTTCAAAATGCATTAAAAAAAAACATTAACTTTTCAAAGAGTATGTTCATAAGATTTAAAACTGGGCAAAGGGTGAGGGCTGGGGTTGTGGCTCAACGGTAGAACACTCACCTAGCTCATGGGAGGCCCTGAGTTCAAAACTCAGCACCACATAAAAATAAATAAAATGAAGGTATTGTGTCCAACTACAACTAAAAAATAAATATTTTTTAAAAACTGGGCAAAGAGTGAAAGAAGATGTATGTAGCACACAGGAGGAATGACTCATACTACTAAACACATTTACTACAAATCATACCCCAAATCTAATGATTTAACTAATAACTCTGAAATTGCTTCTAAGACTGTGGGCTAAAATAAATATTATAGAATATAAACAAAATTTTAATTTTTCTTTCTGATTGCTGGGTATCCTATGAGGGTTGAGGGTTCTCTCAGAAGGTAATGCAAATTTGATTTTGTTCTATAGGTATATTTTAAAAATTATTTTAGGAATGTACAATGTTCTGCGTGATTCATCCTATGATGTCCAACTAGCATCACTTCAATATTTTTCATAAAATAGTCTATTTAAGTACCCACGAACAAATCACACATGGTCATAACAAAAATGTAATAAAAATATTTAGTGAAATGACATTTTAACTCCCATTTATGGATTTTAAAAATACAAATAAAATTTATCAATTTGATATTCAGCTTGTAACAGGCTCAATACATAGCCTTGATTTATTTTCTAAAATCATACTGCAGCATTTTTGAAAAACTAAATGCAACTTTATACCTTCATTGTTATAAGAGAGGTAAATATTTGAATAGTACACTCATCCCTGGGTCTCTTAAAAAAATTGAAAAGTCAGCATAAGTTTAAAATTTTAATATTTATAAATTTAAAAAATTTTACACGTGCTGAATGGTAGCAGTGCTAACATTTTGTGACCATTAACCACAAACTCACTGCATAGAGCTTCTTTCTTTGTACACAGAATCAAATCACAATACCAATATTTGCAATTTGTCATAATTTTGCGGTAAAAGACATCACACCAGAAGCCTGGGCTCAGAGCACACTTGAGGTCAGATCCCCAGGAGGTACATAGTGCAGATGTGGTATTTAACTTCAGGCTAGGGAAATTTGCTGTTAGTATATATCTGACAGCTCCTAATAGCTAAGAGACCTAAAAATACAGTCTGAAAAAGAGAAAATTAGACCTCTCCTCTGCTGAGGACCAGGAACAGGTGAAGGAAGAGCAAACCACAGTGGGTGAGGAGGGTGGATAGATGGTTCATGGAGTGAGTCTCACAGGTGATAGATTATGTGTAAGCCACACCTCTCAGTTCATGGTAGGGAATAACCACCACAGCTAGCTTAGAATATTCTATCTTACAAAGACTTCCACACAGAGAGTTACAGGATAGAAACAGAATTCTTCATTCATCTTCTTTAAAAATAAAACAGAATGGATGCCCACTATTAAGCTTCTATCTTTACCTGAACCAAATTATTCTTTGGCTACATATGTCATGGGTTCTCATTATTTGCCCAATGGCATTTCTTACATCTAAATTAAAAAGCTTAAAGTTCAACTTGAACCATGGCACTTCAAATCAATTTGGGCTCAGCAAGATGCCTACCTTGGACATATTTTAATGTCAGATAATCAATTTTTAAAGAATTCTTAAATGCAGTGTTTTCAGAACATAGTTACCAACTCAGAGAAATACCCACTTACATTTAAAAATAATTTAAAAGATTATTATATTCTCAAATCATTTGTTTTATGGAAAAATTTACAGGAAATTATGTTAAAACTTCATATCTGAATTAGTTCCTTATTTTCTGGTTTGAAAAACAAAAACAAACAAAACCCCTAAGAAATACTGAGGTTCCTTCTGACTTAAAAGGTTAATATTTTATTCAGGAACCAATAATGACAATTACCTGTCAGAGACAGCTAACTTAGCAAGGTCCAACAACCACCACCTCTAACAACAGAGATGGCAAATAGAATACAAGTAATAAAAATCGTATTTTAAGGGTTATACCAACACTGTCTACCAAGAGATTCAAACTTGGAATCCTTGAAACTGACAGCTAGTTTCCCTTCAATACTTGAGGGGGTTCATAGAAATTTTAACAGAAACAGAAACATGGTAATGTTAGGACTTTAGAGACTTGACATTTTTGGTAAGGGAGAAAGTTCAATCAAGACAGGGCAGTATTAGTAATGCTGACTGGTGGGGGGATTATATAGAAGCTTGTTTTTGAAATGAAAATTGTGAAGGAAAAAAATAGTAGTAATCATCTCTTCTGAACAGGGCAATGTAATTTAAGTAGATACACAGTTTACCATAAAAATAAGTCTGAATTCTTAAAATTAGTTTGAAAAAACCTGCAAAGTTTTGTTTACATAAAATGTTACACTTTATACCAGATGAAAACTCAATGCAGTGATGTTAACATGCCACTGTCTTCCAACAAAGTAAAAGACTGCCAGGCAGAAAAGACCCAAGTAACTGTGCTGGAAAGAATACTGTCAAATACTGTCAAGCAGTTTGGCTATCAGCAGCCACCCATCCAGCACAAGGATCATAAAATCACACCACTCTTTTTAACAGAACTACAAGAACAGAGTTACAGGTGCTGTTACATTAATACAAAGTGTGAGCATACAAAGTCCTTAGTAATTGTGCCTTAGGACTCCTTAGTGATTGTGCCTTGGGAAACAAATAAGGAACAAAAATGAATCACAAATCAAACAAAGGGTACAAGGAAAACTTAAGTTTAGAGGATACTATGTGAACAACAGAAATTTAATAAAACAATCTAAAAATTGAACACTTAACAGTGCCCCTTTAACATATATAAAGAACACAAATAATGTTTTTGTTAAAAAAAAAAAAAACTTTAACAAATTAACAGGCAGTTGTAATTGGAAAAACCAATTTACTAAATTCAGCCAGTGTTCAATACCCACTGGGCCAAGAGCATTAAGCAAAGTAAAACAAAATCTGAAGAGCTAATAAACATAGCTTAAGACAAAACTGAGAAAATGAAAAAGATCCAGACTAAACAAATATCCAATTAGGCAAACGTTTACACAAACACCCTGAAGAGTCTAGCTGGTACAATTCAGTGGTATCCTTACTACCTAAAATGTGGTGTCAACCCCCATCCCCTTTGCCACTAATTGACATTCTGATGAGCTCTTAAACATTATTTGGTCCAATCTGAAGTAAATGTTGTTTTAATTAAAAATAGTCTACAAAAATTGGAGTATTAGAATCTGGGAAAATTTAGCAAATATTTCTGTCTGGATAGGAGTTATTTAAATACAGATGCCTTTTTACTTACTAAGGCATTCCTTTCCTACCCATCTTTACTTTTAATACAAACCTGATTATAGTTTTGTCCTGGCCAGTCAGTTATGGGTCTCAGTGCCCTTGTGTGTCTCAGGGACCATATTTATCACACATATACACTACTCACAAGTGCTGAGGAAGCTTGAGGGAGTGAAGAAACACAAAACAAAAACAATGCAAAGCAAAGTGATCACTACTGCACATCACTTCAAGGGGGAAAAAAAAAAAACAACCTAAAAACAAACACATCATTCAAAGTATTTTTTGAAATATAAAAAATGTGTCTTTCATCAAGAGTAATACTAGTTTTCTTCCTCACAATCTTGCAAGATGTTTTGTTCCACTTATATTGTTAGTGGTGATCAAATTAAGAGAAATGATCCTCAAAAAGTTATGGCTATGGACCTCATATTCACTCATATCTAACATCACATGCACAGGTGGGATGAATTTAGATGCTTCCAGTATTGTCTGCTGTCTTTAGCACAGTTACACAAAGTTTTGCAGAGCATCACATGTGAAGATGTATATGCTATGTGCAATTCAAATATAATAGCTGTACTTGCAGGGTGGGTTAGCAGACAATTATTAAGGATATGTGGAAGGAGAAAGTCTACCCCTCTGTAGCAGAGATTCAAATGCACCTATTCCAGAATCCTCTATTTGTCATTGTGTTGTGAGATTCTGGTTTGTAAAGCGTGAAGTTTCATATGCCTACAGTTTATAAATTAGCTTTCATTTCCATAATTTAAGCTGGTACACATTATTAAAGGAAGCATGACAGCAGTATAAAAATCCTGATTAGAAAGATCCAACTAGAGGATCTAGAGTAGACTTTTTAATTTCTGAAATTAAATTTGCGTGACTTCTGTGACACAAGAATTAACACCCACTTCATAATTATTGCCCCTAATGCCCCAACGTGCAATAGTCAGTAATTCTATTGTGTGAATCAGTAATTCACATCCTTTAAAAATAGTTATTGCTTAAGCAAGCTATTCAGAGTAGATATGGGCTGTGTGGCTGGATAGAAACACACTTGGAAAGTTAAATACATGGGGATAAGCCTTTTGTTTTACTCATAAACCCACATAAATTCACAATCAAATGGGGCAACAGGTTCATAGCAGCTAATACCCTAAACCAACTCTGGAGCATCAAGACTTGATTTCTTACTTAAATCTGCCTCCCCCCCGCCCTTAAAATTAAGGCAATGAAATGGCTACAGTTCCTAGAAGTTCTTTTTATGGAACAAAAATATACACATATTTTCCTCAAGTTCAGGCATCAGAGTATGATTAGAGACCTGTATTAATTACACAAAACCTGTAACATGGGTTGATGAGAGAGAAAGAAGAGAGTGAGAGACAAAGAAGAGAATAAAGAGTGTGAGAGAATGAGAAAGAACATCAACTAAAAAGAATCCAACAAACATTTGGTGATTTTTTTTTTTCCTGCTCAATCACAAACCTAATTATCAAAGGGAAGAAACATTGAAAAAACACAAAACCTCTTTAAAGAGTTTTCAATGTCTCTTGCATTGATTCAAAACTTTTGGGGTGATGGAGAGGAGGAGCTTACTAAATTGCAGACCCCAAGGTCCAACCACCAGATTCTGACTAAAGGTTTATGGTTGGGCCCAAGACTCTTCCTTTTCACCAGATCCTCAGAAGGTGCAGGTGGTCTATGGACAACATTTTGAGAAACATTGCCTAGAACACATCCACCTAATATTTAATAACAAAAACTCTAAACTTTGGCTAGCCACCTATGCTTTGATAAAAGGGGAAAAGGCACTGGATATGTATTTCTTGGTGCCCATATCTGTTTGCACATATATGGAATTGCATTTTGAAAATTTTAAGTCACCATTTAAAATCTAGAAGACATGTATGTGACAGCTTGTGGCTAACACCTAACAGCAGAAGCTGATTCAAAGTTGACCTCTCCTGTTTCACTGCATTCCATATTGAAGTTTCAGGCTCTCCAAAATCCAAAATGGCCAAAAGAACTGAGGAACAGGACAAGACTCATGTCAACTTTCAGCAATTCAGTGCACTTTGCAGAAAGGATCTATATTAAGCATAGAGTTTTGTTGTTTATTTTACACAAAGGAGACCACCAACATTTGCCATAAATTCTTCTAAACTCTTTAGGAAGGACATCTTCTGCTTCCGATCCAGCGTAGGAGGAGTGCTGCTTGCAGTGAGCTTGTTGAAGGCATCTGCTAATCTCTGGTAAATAACTGGGTCTTGTTGACTTGACAGTAATGTCTCAACCAGTTCAGAATATTCAGCCTGTGGAAAAGACAAGATGCCCATAAGAATGTATCTTCCTAAGAGTATCACAAACATGACTGTGTCAGTTACTGGATGGGTTCTAAGAGGTAAAAGCTGACAACTCAATGCAATCTAGTTCCAGATCCATGTAATTACCAACTTTGTATTATTGCCTCTTCTGTGTTTTCAAAGCACATTATTCATATTTACTTTTATTTTATACAAAACCTAAACTGTAATATGGCTATGAATAGTTCCCCAAAGTTGTATAGAGACAACTTGTCAATCCAGTTCTGAGGATAGTAGACACATACAGTGCTACATCAGGTGTCTGGGAGCACAAGCATGATGGAGAAGTGTTTCAGAGCTTTCTCAAAGGTGAAGGCAGAGCACTTTGAAAGCTACACATCAGCACTGTACCTAACAGCTCTTCAAGAAAAGGCAGGAAAAGGACTTTCATGAGTACAGGAATATGGAGTGGTGTTTTCTATTTTTAATATCCTGTCTTATACAGGGGATGGGAATGGGTATGGGTTTAAGGGAAATGCTCCCGGGACAGACATAAACTCTAAGAAAGCTGGTCTGCTAATATTTTTCATTAGCTTCTTGGGATATCATAACAGACCAAAACAGTGAAACCAAATGTTAACTGCATGTGAAAGAGGAATAGAGTGCAGCATCCCAGCCCTCCCCCTAAAACACAGAGACAGGATGGCTGTCCTAAGAGCCTTCTCCAAGAGATAGGCCTGCTCAGAGGGGATCAAGTATAACTGTCAAATCATTTCCCTACTTGTAAGAATGATTTGACATTATATATATATGGAGCCAGGCCAGCAGGGGATTCTACTAGCTATTCCTAACTCCCTGTTCTCTTTTCAAAACAGTATAAACATGTTAAAAACAAAAATCAAAAAGGACACTAAAGCAACCAGAGAGAAATGGCTTATACATGTGGGGACAGAAGGCCTATCTTTCTAGTAAGCATCAAGGAAGTCAAATTTCAAAGAAAGGCCACACAACTGAGTGCATATTATCAGCAGCAAGTAGCCACTAGAGCAGAGTGCAAGAAATAAGGTCCTAGAGCAACTTCATCTTTGGGTGTAGGTGGCACAGGAAGTCTAAAGGAAGAGGGTTTTAAGTATATGAACCTCCCCTAAATTCTACCTTTTCTACAAAGCATAATAAAATGCAAAGTTTCTCTAGCCAATCATTTGGCCATGCTGGGAGGTGTACTTGTATATGAGAGGGGAGTAAATTGATGAAGTACACAATCCAACAGGGTTCTTATATACTGAGGGACACCTACTATATCAGAATAAGGAACAGAGACAGGTAAGCAAGCCTAACTTCTTTTGTTACATTAATCTCAGATCAGTGATGCTTCAGACCTTAAGCATTCAACAAAATAATCTGCTCTTTTCTACAACATAAAACAAGAATAATATGCCGTTCTTTATACTTTATGAAGGCAAACTTCTCCTGGTCCCTAATTTTATTCATCTTGTCTCTTATAAAATTTTAGTTCCTCAAAGTATTCATTATTCATTCATGTTTATGTTCCTGGCTCCCTGTATAGTTGTTTAAGGACAAGCTTTGGAGTGTTAACTGTTATAAAGGATGACTCACAACAGTGGAGAAAAATGCTTCTGAGCTGACAAACAGTTTGCCAGATAAACACAAAACAAAAAGCTTAAAAGTTATTAAGGAAGATAAGAAATACTGCCTCACTGAAATATAACTGCAAGTCTGAGTCACTGATCCTGTAAGTATTGAGGTGTTGATAACCCACCATCTTTCTAACAAGAAGAATCCCCTGAAGAGAGGCATGTCCAGTACCTGATGTAAACACACCAAAGTGTAGAAAGCTTCACCAGCTGCAGTGGTCATCTCTGTGTTGTGCTTTTGCAAAACCAGCATGTCAAAAACCAGCTGAAATTACATAATAGGACTTCTAAATGTTTTTTAAAAAAACATTGTAAATACTTGTCGTGATAGCTGAATTATCAAATTCCCCATTATATTTACCATTTCAATTTTTAAGAATACAAAATGAAAATGGATGAAAACAATATGTCCCTGAAGAACTGATCTCAAAAAAAACCCACCATGAAAAGAAAGTATTTCCTCTTCTCTGAAAAATTATGTACACTGACTATACTTATCAAAGTGGATGACTTTTCATGAAACATCTTACCTTAAGAAAGTGCCGAGTTGCTAGAAAAAGTGGTGAATCTGTTTCTTGTGCTTTTGCACACTGTTCAGCTAATGGTGTCAGGGCCTCCAGGCAGAGCTGGCAAACCTCTGAACTCATTCTGATCATGAAGGTCAAAGAACAAACTAGATTGAAATAACTCAGTTACAAAAGATTAAAAAAAAAAAAGCCAGTATCAAATACATGACTATTTCTAGAAATGAATACAGATGTTTGTGCAGATCAGTATGCAATATATCTTAATTGAGTTATAAAGGAAAGACAATTTCCAGTATTTTTAGATGACCCATAAGAGTTTAATCTGGAGGTGGTGATGTTTAGTTCATTTCTGCTTAAGACACATACAAGTGTTAAGAAGTCATATTATTCTGTATCATCAGGGGGCTAAGACTAAAAATCCAGCAATAACACATGACATTGCTAATGGGTTCTTAATGAAGGAGTAACAATGGGATGAAGGGCCAATTGCGTTAGGATTCTATGTAAAGAGAGGATTAGGCAAATTAACAAAAGAAACATAAAATTAGAGCAGTTATAGAGATGACAGCTTTTTTTGAGATAAAACTAAACCACAAAATAAAAATAGAAAACAAATTTAAAGAACTTTTCTTTAAGTAACTACCATCTTTCCCCCAAGTGAGAATAATGTTCATTTTAAAGGATACGATGTCATTCCTAGTTCTAGGGAGTACATCAGACTTTTAAAAAGATCCTCAGGAAGCTGTGGTATTTTTTCAGGAAAAATCTCACAAATAAATGTGATTAATTTGTAGTATTGATTACAAAGTGTTGGAAACTGAAAAAAGAAATTAGATATGTAGATGCTCAATAGTATCTAATTTTTATTTTCATTAATGTAGTAAAGTAACTGACAAACTTTTACTGCACAATGACTTCTTTAAAACGTACAAAATACAGAAAACAGGAAAACCTAAATAAATGTAAAAATACGTTATAATAAAGGCAATATTTTACTAATTACTAAGCAAAAAAGTAATACATAGTAGAAATAATTATATTCTAGATTGTTAATAAAAGCTATAGTCAATTCCAGATAGTCTATGTTTACTTTGAACAACATCCTTATTCTTCTGGTTCCTTGCCTTCCAAACACACTTCAATCTCTATTCTCTTCCTTCCTACTATTACTCTCTCATCCCTCTAATCTCATGCGCATACATACCCCCTCTCCTTCCTTATCCTTGTCCTTGCCCTTATCCCCCCATGATAACTCAGGATAAAAGAGACTGACCCTTTCTTATGGTACTTAGGTAAGAAAAGGTCAGTCTTATCTACACAACACTAGTACTGACTGGTGAAATCCAGGTCCAATGGAATCAAGAAGTGTAAAAATTTTATATTACATTAGTCTTGGTTTCTTACCATCCCATTTTTACATAGAATAGCTTGGAAAATGCCCTCCTTTTCTCAATCCTTCAGCCTGAGAATAATGTTCAAAAATACAAAGACAAATACTGAGGGAATCAAAACTGCAAACAGAAATGTTTTTTTCTAGGACATTTTTTTTCTGTAGCACTCCCTGACAAAATGTGTCACTAATGGACCAGGGCATACACACTCTAGAGCCTGTGTTACTAAGAAGTAAGCATAAGTCACTCTAACAGAAATGCAATCATTTTATTTTCATGTACACTTAATTAAGTCACAAGTATATTAATGTCTAAAGTATTTTTTTTTTTATTGGTTGTTCAAAACATTACAAAGCTCTTGACATCAATGTGTAGTATTAAAGTTCACATTTTGTTGCTTTAATTACCTTCAAAAGATCCTGTGACATCAAGGGCAGAATTAGGTTGACCCCATATAAAACAACATCAGCTGCTGATACAGATCTGTTTGCTGCTTGACCCGGCTCATGTCCTCTAAACACTTCATCTATTAAAATAGAAAAAATGCAGTCTTACAGATATAAGATCATTAAATCTCCGAAGTTCATATTCTCTTTATGAAAATAAAAATAAATTCAGGCCCTTTAGTCTAAATACATTCATGAGTTATAATAATAGAATGTTTGCCTAATATGTGTGAGGCCCTGGGTTCAATCCCCGGTATCAGGAAATTTTTTTTTTCTTTTAATGACCAGGAAAAAGTTAACACTCATCAAAAAAGTAAAGCCAGGTACAAAGGCACACACCTGTAATTCCAGCTACTCAGGAGGCTGAGGTGAGAGGAGTGCTAGTTCAAGACCAGCCTAGGCAACTTATTGAGAACTTTTCTCAAAATAAAAAGGTCTAGGGCAGAGCACCCTTGGATTAAATCCCCAGTACAGAAGGTGGGGAGGAAGGCAGAAGTTAAAATTATATTTACAGCATGACTGCCAATGAAATTCTACAAAAAAAAAAAAAGAAGAAGAAGAAATTCCCCAAAATGCAACATACAGTTAGTTTATTCTGGATACTATTAAAAAATATGGATGATTTTCCTTTCTCTTTACTTTAAAGGTAAAATGATAAGATTCTTTTTCAAGTAAAAACAACTTTTTTCAGTCTAATTCTGAACTTTCTCTAAGAATCTCAATTCTGCTTGAAAAATCCCATTTTCCAAAGCACACTTTTGGAAAAGTTCAGCAAATGTTTTCTGAACATCAGATTGGTCTATTCCATCCAAGGAGATTTGGCTTGCCCATCAGTTCCACGTCTCTCTGAGCTGCAAAGGCTGACCTGAATGAGCTGAATAGGACTCTCAAGTGCTCTGGTAAGGAGACAGGAATGCAACTCAAGCATCCAATTAATGAATAATGTCAGACACCCACTTCCAGTTTTCCTTTAAATATCTCACTTCAGCATGTTTGGTTCCCTTTTTTTCTGATACTGTGGATTGAACTCTGGGACACTTAACCACTGAGCTGCATTCCCAGCCCTTTTTATTTTTCATTTTGAACAAGGTCCTAAGTTGCTTGGGGCCTTGCAAGTTGCTGGGATTATAGGCATGTATCACCATGCCCGGCTTACATGTTAATTTTTTAAATATTTAAAATTTTATATTTTGTTTTAGCTATCTATAATCTTCATTTTAAAAATAATAAAATATTATCTTCCTTTGTATCATCTATTTTACCAGGTAATGCTGTTTCTTTAAAATTTTCTGTTTTAACAGTCTTATTTTGGTTTCTTTTAAATTTCAACCCATACATCCTTATTTAATTCTTTTCACCCCATTTTTATATTTTACCCTTATTTTGTTCTTTCTACCCTGGGCACTCTGGTGTCAATTTCTTTATCTTTTATTTTGACTTTAATCTTTTTCTAAATTTTTTTTTTTTTTTTTAGTGGTAGATGGATACAATATCTTTATTTATTTATTTTTATCTGGTGCTAAGGATCGAACCCAGTGCCTCACACATGTGAGGCAAACACTATACCACTGAACTACAGCCTAGCCCTTAATTTTAATCTTTTAACTGCTTTTATTTGGTAAATCTCTTTCTCAACTGCTTAACTTTCTTGTTTGCTCTACAACCTTTTCTCAGCATGGTGACATGAGGAAGTGCAGCTACACTGTAGTCTGAATGATAGAGAGGGTCTTTGCCCTCCAAATGTCTTTAGTAGTTCTACTATTTCTTTCAATAGAAACTTTGCAAAATATACCACGTATTAGTCCTGGAAGATTCCCAGGTCAAAAATCTTTCCAAAAATGCCAATGGCTTTCCCTTCATTGGAGGTATAAGCCCTACAGGATTCAGGAAAGTTAGTACAGAAAGTGTGCTACTCAAGGGAAGATCTCAGAAGGTGCACTTGGGGAAGGATTCTTCATCCACACTCCAGTGAGGAAACAGTGTCGGTTTCCCAGAGAGGCAAGAAGAAGAGGAGACCCAGGGCCAAAGTTGTGGCTCACTGGTAGAGCACTGGGTTCAATCCCCAGCACCACATTTTTTTTTTTTTTTTTTTAAAGGAATAGATCCTACAAACTGGCCAGAGCCCTATCATTCCTAACATCTTGAAATGTTTATTTCTATTATAATTCCTCACTGGCCAGTGCTGGGGATCTAATATATTATATAAGCAGGTATGAACATGATGGAATTATTATTCTGGGAAAGAACATAATATTACCTTCCAGATAAGGCAGCACATCTAAAATGTCTACGGAACTTTCTTAAAATGTAGACTTCTCAAGTTAATAGGATGGACCTGATAGTTTCAGTCAGAACTGGGAACCTAGAAACTGATAATCATTCTAGAAATGAGAAATCTGAAATAATGAGCTGATTTATGAAATATAGGGGTACCTGTGACAGTAAATCATCTAACTGTACAAATGGTTTAATACTGGGTCACAGCTCCTTCTCAGCACAGTTCTTAACTCAGTACAGTACTTAAGCCTCCAAGAAGCAACAAACGCCCTGTAGGATGGTATAATGCACACTATTTGAGGGAGAAGCACTTTTGACCTGAAAAAGGTTTAACACCCTGAGACTGTGAAGCACAAACCAAAGGACTTAGAAAACATGGGAACGGCTGTTGCATGAGGTCCTGGGACAAAATGAAAAGAATTTGCTAAGGCAAAGTTTGGACAGTGCTTTTCAAACCATTTCACCATATTACCCATGGTTAACTTGAATAAACCTCCTAGACAGTGAACTTTGACAGTGTCTAGTACAGGACACATACTGGGGAAAACCATGGTTCATTGAAGAAGGAGAATGACCAGTAAAGGAAACAGAGTAAGAACAACCTCAAAGATTGAGTGCAATGACTTAATTGGGGTGTTATAGCACTAATTTAAGAGACTCTTGAAAGGGAGAAGCCAAAAAGTCTACTATCACAAATGTCTGTATAACATAAACAACATAATGCTAGATATGGTTTGTTTCTCTTATAAAATAAGTTCTAGTTACCTTAAAGATAAGCTTGACAGTGGGGTTAAGCAGCTGGGTGGGGGTAGATTTTACCAGTCAATAAAGAAAACAAGCAGGCTAACTGACTTTCCTCTTGTCATGTTATTAATGAGCTATTAAATTTAAGTGGCCTGTCAATTCTAGAACTCAGGGTTTTGCACTCCACTAGGGTTTCCCAAACTACACTCTACAAAGTGCTAGGTTTGTTGGGATGCCCACTTCAGAGGATACAGAGAAGTCAATAAAACATAACTCTGAAGAAACTGGAGTCTATGGTCACCTGCTGGGTTTTAAAATTGAATCCCAAATTACTACCTAAATACCTATGAGTAAGTGACTTAACCTCTCTATGCTTCTATTGCCTCCTCTTTAAAGTGAGAATAACAATGTTGTCTACTTCATCCTATGTGAGAAGAACAGGGCCTGATATTCAGTAAAAACTAAAAAAAAAAAAAAAAAAATGGCATATATACACAATGGAATATTACTCAGCACTAAAAAATAATAAGATCATGACATTTGCAGGGAAATGGATGGCATTAGAGCAGATTATGCTAAGTGAAGTTAGCCAATCCCTAAAAAACAAATGCCGAATGTCTTCTCTAAGGGGGGTGACTCAAATGGGGAAGAGAGGAAGAGCATGGGAAGATTACCTCTACATAGGGAAGAGGGGTGGGAGGGAGAAAGGGAATTGCATGGATGGTGGAAGGAGACCCTCATTGTCATACAAAATACATGTATGAAGATGTGAGACAAAAAAAAAGAATAGCGTTACCCTAGATTAGGTAGAGAAAAGTGATGGGAAGGGTGGGGAGGGCTGGGGAGATAGGAAGGATAGTAGAATGAAACAGACATTATTATTACTATGTATATATATGTGAATGCATGACCAATGTGATTCTGCAACCTGTATAATCAGAAAAATGATATTATACCCCATCTGATTCAAATGTATGATATGTCAAGGTCAGTGTACTGTCATGTGTAACTAAGTAAAACAAAGAAAGAAAGAAACCCTTTTTTGGAGATGGTGTTTGGAAACTATGTTGCCCAGACTGGCCCAAAACTTCTGGGCTCAAGTAATACTCCTGCCTCAGCCTTCTGAGTAGCTGGGACTACAGGAAAGCACCACTAGCCCAGCTGAAGACATTATTTTTATAAGAGGAAAGGCAGCAGGAAGGCTTGGTCTTTACCCTCACTTCAACAAAAGATATCTACTTTAATTTGTTTTGTAAACTGAACTTCAAGGGTTTTCACTTCAAACAATTTTTTGCTTTAATAAAAACAATAATCACAATCAAGTTTAAAAACCATCACACTATACTTTACCTGTGTCACTGAAATCTATGAATTCTTTTGACAGAAGGTTAGTAAGAAGTTCCATAATGAGAAGCAGGTCTTGGTACTGTTCTTCTTCAGCAGTAACATCTATTCTTTGCCTCCCTAAATTATTCTTAGAATATACTTGCAACAAAGTAAGGCAGGCTTCATATAAGTTCATAGCTTTGGACTGTAAGAAAACAAGCACAAATTATTCTATTTGGTAGAATCTAGCTGGGAAATAAGTAGAGAAGTTTAAATTTACTCTGAATTCAAATAGTAGCTATGATACTTGTTTAAGTGTTGAAACATTAACAGTAACAAAAAAACATAATTTAGCCTTTTTCTAAAACATTTTAGGGCAAGTTATATTATTAGACATGACTTCTCTGAATCATGAATTCTTTTTAAAAGTTTTCCTGAAGGATTTTTTGGAAAAATAAATTTATTTTAGAAAACATGCATCAATACATTATTGGAGCTTTGAAGAGTTTTAATCCTGAAGGGATAAAAACTAGAAAGTGCTCACCTCTCCAAGATAGCATATCTGTTTATGTGCAACTTCAACAAAAACTTCTATAATGAGATTGACAGTCTCTGGGGTATTTTTGTAAACTTCCATCAACCCAATGCAATTGGTAAGGAAGTCCATTAAAAAATTAAAAAGAATGGCTACATTGTCAATCTGGGTAGCCTCAGCAATGCCACAAAGGGCCTCCAGCGTAGCAGTGATTTCCTGCTTGATTTCCTCTTGCTGACACATCTGCTGAAAGTTTTCTTGGTTTATCACTCTTAAGAATCGCTGCTGAAGTGGCTGAAGAACCTATAAAAGTACAGCATAAACTTTCTAAACACGCTTTATTTAGTTCCTCAACTTGGATCAATATTTAGTTTTCAAATGATTTCTAATTATTGGAGGCAGCTCAAGCACAGAAAGTAAGGAATATATATACACACTACATTCTGGCATACACAAAGAAATGACACCCAAGTCATGAAATATCAGTTTTTCAGTACCATTCACAGAACTGTGCAATTTCATTCCATCTCTTTTCAAAGGATTAGCAAAAACATTTTTAAAAAAGATAAAAAGTTAAGACTTTACGGGGGGGGGGGGGGGTCAGCAAAGTTTTTTATATAAAGGGTCAGAGTAAATATTTTAGATTGCACTGTGTGAAGTACAGAGCCATAGAGAAGATGTAAACAATTGTTTCAATAAGACTTTGTTTACAAAAACAGGCCACATTTCACCTATGGGCTGCAGTTTGCAAACCTCTGTTCTAATGAGCACCCAACACAAAGCTCTTGCCTGCTCTTTCTTTCCCTACTCTTCTTAGCAAAGAACACTAACTCCAGATCCTAAATCTTGTACTGTAAATATAAGTACTCACATTCATGGGAACAGTATCTTAATTCCATATGATACAATTATTTAAACTAGAAACATACAGTCTGTGACCTCTGACTTCCGAGGTCACACACAACTGTTGCTACTGTGCCCCTTCTCAGAAATTAAGAGCACTTTAGACACAAGGACTACAGGTCAATAATGTACATACACACCTAAGCCCTAATTCAAAACTTATTATATATAATATGTCCATGGTGGTTGTTATGAATTGAACTGTGTCCCTTAGAAATTCCTATGTGGAAATCCAATTCTCAAGCACCTCAGAATGTGAACTTATTTGAACAAAGAGTCATTGCAGATGTAATCAGTTAAGATGAGATCACACTGGAATAGAGTGGGCTCCTAATCCAATATAACTGGTGTTGCATCAAAGGGGAAATTTGGATGTGGATGCTCACTTAAGAAGAATACCATGTGAACACAAAAACAGATCAGGATGATGCATGTACCTATGAAGGAACGACAAAGATTGCCAGCAAACTACCAGAAAGTATAGATTCTTCCTTAGAGCCCTCAGAATGAACCAACCCTGCTGATACCTGATCTTGAACTTCCAGACTCCAGAATTATGAGACAATAAACATCTATTTTTTAAGCTACCAAGTTTACAGAAGCCCCAGAAAACAAAGTGGTTAATTTGTGTCTGTTTGCTCAAGACAAGAAAACATTTCACCAATTTTTAAAAAAATATTTATTCTTAAGTTTTAGGTGGACACAATATCTTTATTTCACATTTATGTGGTGCTGAGGATCAAATTCAGTGCCTCATGCATGCTAGGCGAGCGGCTCTACCACTGATCCACAAACCCAGCCCCCATTTCACCAATTTTTATGTCATAATTCAATCTTTCCCCCAATGCTGGGGATCTAACCCACAGCTTCATGCATGGTAGGGAAGTTCTCTGTTGTTGAGCCACACCCCCAATCTTAGATTTTAAGTTTAGACCCTCATTAGGCTTGGGAAAATATGCCTAAAATATAGAACATTTGATAATATTCAATGTTTCCACATAAGCAGGTATGGACAAATGATAAATTGAGTTATTTGTCAAGTAATAAGCTTCAACACATTCACTAGAGGAAAAAACATCCAAAAAAGCTATGACTGAAATATTTATATCCCCATAGACCATAGATACATAGATAAAGCAACTACAGAGTTACATGAGAGGGTGCAATTAAATTAGAGAGAACTATTACCTCTGTCCAATATTGTTGTTTGGTTTCTGTATCCATATGTGCAAAACCCCCTAAGACAAGAGCCTTCATCAGAGTCCTCTGCACAGGACTTGACAAGAAATTAAGAGGGGGACTGCGGCTTGCAAACTGCTTAGCTAGGTTCCACCAGTTTTCACACTGAATTACTAAGTTTGCCCTTTGGGTAGAAATAATAAAACATATATTACTTTCACATATATTAAGAAAATGAAAATTAAAGATAATTGGATTTTTTTTTTTTGAGGTGGGGATCTCACTATATTGCTCAGGCTGGTCTTGAATTCATGAGCTCAAGTGATCCTTTTGCCTCAGCCTCCCGAGTAGGTTAGGCTATAGACATGCACAACTACAACCAGCTGGAATTAATTGATCTCACTTAATCAATTTTATAATCCGCAAAATATGGATAATAATAGTTACAGCAACCTTCAATCTCACGCTGACTGATAACTGAGACTGATATTGATTAAGTGAGATACCACATATGAAACTCTTAGGACAATATTTAGCAAATTATAAGAATTTGATAAATAGTAGCAACGGCAAGAGTATTGCCAACAATAATAATACTCATGTACAGAAAGAAAAATTAAAGTATTTTCAGAATTGCTATAGAAAGCACTAAAAACTCTACAATGTTAAGAGTTTAAGTATCAGGTGTTCTCATCTTTAAAGTTGGAAATAATGTTAACAGGATAACTGAAAAAAAAATCAAGTGAGAATATTCTACACTCAAGTGTTTTTTAAAAACTATAAATTACTAATAAGACTTATGTTACTCTTAAGGTTCTCCGATGCCAAATCTTTGAACAGTCAATGCAATCTTCAATTATAACACAAGAAAGCCCCATCTACATTTGTTGAGATAGCATGATAACAGCTTAAAAAAAAAAAAAAAAAAACCACTACCATAAAAAATGTAGCATCTATCTGGACTTAGACCTGCAAACTACTCCCACACATACACCCCCATGGCATGAGTGTCTGTGTGCGTGCATGCACTGCCCCCCAGGCTCTCCAACAATGGGTTTACCTTTCTCTTCTTTCCACCAAAGTGACAAGGAGCTGCACAGTATCATTTGCAAGGTCTTGCTCACTACTCCAGACTGAGAGGTTACTGATGACTTTTTGTAAGAGGTAGCCAATAATCCACTGAGAACCTTCCGTATCTGCTCCAAATGCTGTACTGAATGGCAGACTTATCTTAAGAGAGAAAACAAATGTTGTGAGATCAGAAATATCAATCATCTGAAAAAATAATCCACAGAAAAACTGAGTCTAAATCCAAAGTAGTGCTTATTCACATTAATTTTATAAATTATTAATTTCTTAAGTCCAAAATGACATTCTCAATTCACTCTTTATTTTCCAATGTGATTTTTCTGTCAACTTTATTCTCTTACTAACACACTATAATGAATATATTACTCAATTTCCAAATAGCAGTCTGTTATCTTTTTGTTGTGGTGGTTGTACCAGAGATTGAACCCAGGGATGTTTAACCTCTGAGCTACATCCTCAGCCTTTTTCATTTTTTTGAGACAGGGCATCGCTAAGTTGCTGAGGCTGGTCTTGAACTTGCAAACCTCCTGTCTCAGACTGCTAAGTCGCTGAGGTAACAGGCATGTGCCACTGTGCCCAATTTTGTAATTGTATCTTTTTTTTTTTTTTTTTCATGTATAACATGATGTTTTTTTTTTTAAATTTTTTATTGTTGGTTGTTCAAAACATTACAAATTTCTTAACATATCATATTCCACACTTTGATTCAAGTGGGTTATGAACTCCCACCTTCACCCCATACACAGATTGCAGAATCACATCAGTTATACATCCATTGATTTACATATTGCCGTAATTGTATCTTAACACTGGTAAAATAAATAAACTAATAATGAATGTGCTCTAAGAAAAGCCACAAAATAGCAGTAGAATTCTCAGCTGTCTTCAGTGCAGAAAAATGTTCCAATTCCATTTTGATGAGAAAAATCAATAAGAAAAATGTTCTCACTTTTATAACTATCATCATAAATCCAAAGGAAGTGTAGAAGTTTTACATTCTGACCTGATCATACAGTTTTTCATCCACAAGGAGATAAGTCTTGGCCCAGCGTTTTAGAAACCAAACAATATCTTTGCCCATTTGAGGGCTTAGTAGGTGAGTGAGATCTGCTCTTATTGCTCGAGATTCAACTTCTGAAACTCTTAGAACAGCAGACAATAGCCTGTAGGTATAAAACAGAAGTCATTTATTCTTTTATTGATTCAGAGGTTGTCTAATTATATTTTTTTCTTAAAAGTCCATTTTTATTCTCAAGTCTCTGGGTTTAGGCCAGTAAATACTTGAAAATATCATCAACAGGATTGTAGACAAATGCTTTACAATATTTCTAATGAGAATGACAAAGTTGGAGACAAGATAAAGAAAAGGAAGAAAGTCAACACTAGAGACATTATTGCACGTGCAAATCTCAGCATTACTGTCTAAAGATGAAAAATGGAGAAATATATAAAATTAAATGTTCAGAGTGCATGCCAAATTCTTTCAGCATTCCATCACTATCTAAAACTCCTTCAGTAGGCACAGCATGTGATTTTATACCATAAAACACAAGATCTGTTATGGTATAAGATCTGGAACTGACTCCTCTAGAATGTCTGCAGTACCAAGCCTTATTTCCAAATCTGATAGACCTCAGTTTCCCATTAAACATGATTCCTAATAGTATTTTAAAATAAGAATCTTGCTATAAAGATTACATAAGTGCATATATTGTCTTTGTCCCCGCTACATAATTCATATGGCCAAGAGGTGTCAATAACATAGTATGATATTTAGGTAAGTAAAAATGTCTTTGTTCTGGGAGTGCAAGATGGGCACATAAGTTATATATATGTTTAACTTGACTTTAGCCAAAAGGCAAAGATACAATAAAATAACTTATTATAATACATTTAATAAATACTAAATAGCAATATTGTGAATCTAATCACTGAGGTTTGGTCTTTGCTCCTTTCCTCACCACTCTCAAGACTGAAATCTTTGGAATGAAATCAGATGAACATGTTTCCAGCTTCAATGTCTCAGAAGTACTAGATGATGCTGACCACTCTGTCCTTTTGAGAAAACTCCTTCCATTGGCTTCCCCAGCACCACATTTTCCACATCCCCCTTATCCATCTGCTCACTCTTTCCTATTCTTTAATGGCAGCCTCCTCCTTTTAAGTCAGAAGGTTTGTAAGGTTCTATCTTAGAACCTTTTCTTTTCTCACTATCCATGAACTCCTTATACAACAGTGCTCAAACTCTCAAAATTTATTTTAGGGGGTAGGTAAACAAAATATTCCAATAACCTCATTATTTCATTTATGTTAGTATACCAAAATTTCCCCATAAGATTAAATAATTTGCCAACACAGTGGCTGAGGAGAATCGCGAGTTCAAAGTCAGTCTCAGCAAAAACAAGGCACTAAGCACCTCAGTGAGACCCCAAATAAATACAAAATAGGACTGGGGATGTGGCTCAGAGGTTGAGTTCCCCTGAGTTCAATCCTCAGTATCTCCCCGTGTCCCACCCCCAACAACAACAACAAAAAAAGATTAAATAATTTTAGATCATTTCCAGCCTACCAGAATTCTAAATAAATGATTACATTAACACTATATGTTTATATACTAGAATTCAATCAGTGTTCTTATAGCTAACACCATCTATTTAAAATGTGAACAAAATTTTCTTTCACTTCCAATTCCCTATAGAACATTATCCTAATATAATAAATATACATGCTCTATTTGCTGATCATACTATGATACAACTGTCTAGGCTAACACAGTAGTGTTTTCTTTCCCATGTATCTCTGAATAAATATTACTTATTACCAGGATAAGCCACCATTGAACACAATTTGGTTTGTATTTTTCATTTTAATGGATAGAAAACAGTGAAAAAACTTGTTCATATTAATAAAAAGAAGGTATTTTTAAAACTGCAAGGTCACCCAATTATTTGAATTTCTTCTAAAGGTATATGACAAAAATCAGAGAGATCTACCATCAAAAATTATTTTAATAATCTCTTAGCTGACACTAGATTAGGTCCTATTCAATATTACATAACGCAATGGGATAAACTTCCTAATTGTACACTCATTCTAATAAACACTGCACTATTTGCACCTGCTCCTTTATTTGGCACTCTGTGATCTTTTATATACCTGCCAATCCCCACAGTAAAGTCAGAATGAGAGAGCGTCCACCTTTCTTTTGTCAAGTAGAAGAAAGGTGAATAACCTGTAATCCCAGCAGCTTGGGATGCTGAGCTGGGAGGATCATGAATTCAGAGCCAGCCTCAGCAACTTAGCAAGGCCTTGAGCAACTCAGTGAGACCCTGTATCTAAATAAAATATAAACAGGGCTGGGGATGTGGCTCAGTGGTTAAGCATCCCTGGGTCCAATCCCTGGTACCAATAAATTAATAAAAAGATAGACAGACAGACAGACAGCAGCTCAGGCAGTGGTCTGGCAGACAGAGGGGAGCCCCAAGTGCATTCTTTCATCCTTTCTATCTCCTCTCCACCACATCCAACAATTAGCATATTCCTGGGAGCTCATTCAGACACACCTCTCAAACCCAAGCGACTTTTTCTACCTTCACTCCAAAATACTAACAAAATGCTTCCCAATTTGCTGTTATCCTTTAACTCTATCTTCCACAGAACATCACCTCTAAACAACTGGATAAGTTCACTTATCTATTGCAAATCCTTTCCCCCAGTTTCACTCCTACCTTATGAGCCCACCTATAGCACCCTCCCTGCCTCAACCTCATCTCACTCATCAGGACCAGTGCTCCTCCCATCACATTCACACACTAGCCACACCAAGTTTTCTCTCTCCTCACCTTTGCTTCTTGAGCACTGTTTGCCTTCCTTTCATTCTGCAAGTAGAAGCCCCCTGCCAGTAGACTAGGTACATACAAGTGTTCCTATACACTTTATTATATCCTCAGATCCCATCATGAAGGGGAATTGAAGACACTACTGATCAAAATATCTTCTATTTTTGCTATTCCAAGATTAATACCCCAATTCTACTTGAGTTCCTTAAGAATGCTATCTGAAAATACTGTATATTCTAGACAGCACTCAGTTTCCTAAATCAATCCTGGATTACATTTCCATTTCACAAACTAAAAGTCAACACAATAAATCAGTGTTTTTAACTTTTTTCATGGTTGACTTTTCTATGGTTGATCTGATCTGGATACCATCATATCCTTGAATTACTGCAACTAGCTACATATCTGGTCTTTTCACTTTCATCATTCACTCTTGATACAGCAGAGTAATCTTTTTCACACACAAGTAATTTTCCTGCTCAAAACTGTGTAATAGCACCCCAGTTCACTCAGAGCAAAAGTGAAAGATGCTATACAGTTCTAAAGACCTTATCTAATTTTTTTCTATTTTCCCAACACCATCTCTTACAAAATTCTACTTCAGTCTGCCTAGTCCACAATGGCTTTCTTGCTGTTCCTTGAACATGCCAGATATGCCCAGGGCATTGGTATAAGACGCTGTTCTCCTTGGAATGCTTATCCCCCAGACATCTTTATGGTTTCCATACCATCCTCAAGTCTTTGCTCTCAAATCACCTCTAAAAAAGGCCGACGTGCATCACACTGTTTAAAACTAAAATGATCCCTGAAGTCTTAACTCCTTATCCTCCTACTCTGCTTACATTTTTACCCACAGCATTTACTGTTTTCTAATATTATTTTACTTCTTGATCATCTCTCCTTTACAGGGAGCTCTATAGGAGGAGTGAATTTTGTTTATTACTGATATATTCCAAGCACCATTAATGTGACTACTACATAGTTAAGTACTCAATAATTATTTGTTAAATGGTATTTTCTTCAATAAAGGTGAACTATGTTTTTGGTAAAACAAGGAACATTTTTCCTAAACACCAGTTAATTTCACATTTAATTTTTTGGATTAAAAAAAAATGGGGACTTTTTTTTTTTTTTAGGCGGGGGGTGCACAACCCTCCATAGTCTGTGCTCTCAGATACAAAGATGTTTTGCTCCCACACTGATACCTGGGACTGGAAAAAAATTTGAAAAAGCACTTAAAATACAAGGAAAGCACTCCTAATGGTACTACCCAGGCAAGAAATATGACAAAGAATACATGACAGCACCCTGAAATTAGTTGTCTTTGAAATTAACATTCACCATAAAACAAACCAAAGCAAAAGCACTGATTTCCACAGATACTGAATTTAAAGACTATAGTAATCCCAGAGAATGATTTAAAACTTTTCAAATAGAAAGTTTTATTTTAAAGGAAATGAATTCCCAAAGATTTCCTTGATATCAGCTTAGTATTACAACTTGGAAAAAAAAAATCACTTTTTCTTTTGTAGAGATTTAAATGATGCCCATGATTTTTCATTAAGAAAAGAATAGAAGGGATAGCAGCTTGTTTGAGTTACTGATTTTGCAACTGAAAAAAAAAAACAACTAATTTGTTATCATTACTGACATCTCTGACTGTATTCTTAATTTAAATTGAAAATACTCAAATTTAAAATACTATTTTCAAATCCACTTTTAAAAGTATATTTATTTATTCCATATTTACCCCTTCTTAACGTCACCATTAAAAATTATGAAAACTTGCCATTACTATTGGGAAGACTAAAGTGAATCCTCTCTCGTTGGAGGCACTATTCTACCTTGTGAATCCCCCAACAGGGTCTCATTGTTTCACATATTCAAGATAAATATTTCCATTTTATAAGAAAAAAATTAGTTTTCCTTAGGAAAGCCAAAGAAATGTAGTTTTAGCTTTCGTGAACAATAAACACATATTAACGTTCACCTGGTTCCTAAGAACCTCAAATTCCTGTTTCCCTCATTAAGGGTGCCTGTACATACCTCAGTACTATTTTCTGGTGGACAAGTGCTATGTTCATAGTACATTAGACCGAATGTCTCTTCCAAATCTCCTATTTAGAGTAATTTTACATTTATTTTCTTCAGTATTAGAAATAGCTGTCAATTCCCACCACAGTGGTGTTGCCTAAATAATACTGAGTACTTGCCATCCTTGTGTATTTCAAGGCTTCTCCAAGTTTTATTTTAGTTTGTGTATCCGATTTACAGCGTGCCTATCCCTCTGTTCATCTACCCATCAACTCAAAATTTATAAAACAGTATAAATTACAAGAGCACAGCTATAGAGTTCATATTACCTAATCACAGAATCTGTTCTGTTGTACCCTGGGATGGAAGAAGCCTTTTCTCCTGGAGATCCCAAAATTTGAAGTGTTGTATTAATGTCAACTTCAGATGAATGCTTAATGGAATATTCCATTATTTCTGGAGGTATTAGCGGAGTCTCTCCCTGAGTATCATCAGCTAAGAGGTAGCCTTCAGTTTAAAAAAAATTAAAAATGAACACTTAACAAATCTACATTTACCAAATTGCACTATAAATGTTTTCAGTTTTATTTGATTTATATACATCACATAAATTGATGTAAAAGTAAATCATAACTGTTAATCTGTTAATTTAAAGTTGGTGAGAAGAAACTTTCAATTTCTCAGATTATCAACCCTCAAAAATACAAAGGACAAATGTTTTCTTCATCAATTTTATAATTCATAGTGACATGTAGGCATTTGAATGCACTACCTTTTAATAATTTTCAGTAATATTGTCTATAAAGTTAATATGATTTCTATTATTCATACTAGAAATCAATATTAAAGAATGCCTTTCCAAAAGTCAAAATTTTCCCTGATTATTTAAAATAAACACTAATAGTATGGTGGTTAAGGAAGAAAATCCTAAAAGCCAGACGGCCTACATTTGCACTCTGGCTCCAAAAATTAATAGCAATGTGACCTTGGTCTACTTTCTTATACTCTTAGCTTCTTTGTCTGTTTGATGGGGATAATGATGATGATGGTAACAGTAACAATACTTAACAGTACGATTTTGGTAGAGTATGATGAGATCCACATGAAACACTTGGTGTGCAATAGGCAATGAATACATGTTAGCCAGTATTTAAAAAAAAACAAAAAATACATCCAAAGCTCTGTGGCAAATAACACTATACCCAAATTTTGTCCAATATTATAAATAAACTACTGTTTTTAATATATCAAGCTTCTTTTAGAGCTTAAACTGTTGACAACTACATTTTAAAAAGAAAAACTAACCAACCTGTAACTAAAATAAGCCAGTGAATATCTTCATAGAGATCATCAAGCATTTTGTTATCAATGGTGCTTGAACCAGGTGAAGCAAGTAATTGTTGCTGATGTCGCTGTAACTGACCATGGAGTCTTGTTACTCTTTCTTCTAATAAACTAAAAAAGAGGAAAAAACAAAACAATTAGCTTCATGAAGTTCAACCACAAAGATGAAGAACAATTTATAACTTCCCTATACTAGATAATATAAATTAAGATGTTAGCACAAAAAACAAATATACAAAAGTATTATAGTACACAATTGTTGTCATAGCACCATAGGAATCTAATTTACTATTTATGACACAGAAGGAAAACAATGCTTTACAAACAATCAAGGTTTACAACACGCATTTGAAAATTGGTTATTCCAACTTTTTATGATATGGGTCAAATTGTTTCTCATACCATGCTTTCCATAATCTCTCTGCCATCTATGCTGTAGTGCCTGGGCTCCAAATGTATAAGCCAAAGAATGGAATCATGAGTATGTTTCTGTCCATTGATCCAGTGTGCTGGGATACGGGGTGGGGGTGTTTAAAGTCTTTAAACACTTTAAGTGCTCTCCGGGGAATTGTGAATACAGAATATTTGCTCCATGGGGTTTCTTTGGACTGTGTGTACCTTGTCAGAAGAGGTATACAGTGTTCTGCAGCAATTCTTCCTAGCATTCCTACACTGGCTAGTTGATCAGAAAACTGGTCTCGATCATCTTCTTGAAGTTCACTTATTTCTTCTTCCTCACGAGAGGCTACACCATTGGCAGTCTATTACAGGTGAAAGAAAAAAACAATTGAGGAACTGTACTATCTTATTCAGGATTTTTTGAGGCCCTATAAAATAGCTTCAAAACTGCATATGTAAAGAAGAGCTGGACAAAGTCAACCTTCAGTGCAGCTATCCAGAGACTCCTTTCTAACCATGGCAACAGCTCTAGTGGTTATCAAAAGAGAGGCACAACACAAAAAGATGTAGAAATATCACTCACCAGTGCATAAAATAAACACAGCTAACTGCATACCCATAACCCACCTCCCACACTGGAGAACTTCACTTGTCAATAAAATGATCTTTTCACATTCCTGGTCCTTTGGATATAAGAAATCATTCATTAGCACTGCACAACTAGCAAGACAAAGGTAGGAAAATGAAAGATGAAAGGAGAGGACTATAAGTAACACACACCCCTCGGCCAATATAAGAACTCATTTACACAACAAGGGCCACTTTTGCACTCAGCAAATTTTCTCAGGGGGCCTATCTTAAATGTCTAGTTTTATATACTACTTAAGATGAAACAGTCTATGATGATTCTTAATTACCGCCTGGCTTAAAACTTACCAAATTCCTTGTGCCATCTGGAGCAGCTAGGTGGCAGTGAATATAGGAATTAAAAACTTGAACTGCATGTTGGGTAAAAAAGCCTTTGTGGAAATGTTTGTCATCTTGGACCAAAGTTAGCCAGGACTCCAACAACTTATCATATGCTTCCATGTATACCATATCATCCTTATCAAGCTAAAAAAAAAAAAAAAGAACATTCATAAAACAAATATCCAAAGAAAGAAATGGGCATCATAAAGAATCACACAGTTTATAAGTTGTTCCTTAAAAAATGATGATTCTTATTGTTTTAATTAAACTTCTAAACTTTTTCTAACTTAGTCTAAATAATTGTTAGGCAATCTGAAATTACTGTTTATTTTAGAAGACTACCTGTTCAGGACATTTTGGAGCATGTATTTTCTTTTAATTTTTTTTTTTTAGTTGTAGTTGGACACAATACCTTTATTTATTTATGTATGTATGTATTTATTTATTTATTTTTATGTGTTACCGAGGATTGAACCCAGCGCCTGGCACGTGCTAGGCCAGCGCTCTATCACTGAGCCACAACCCCAGCCCTGGAGCATGTATTTTCAAGCAAAAAGAGTCACTAACATTTTTCTAAAGTAAAGAAGAAAAAATGTGGGCCTGGGGTTGTGGCTCAGCAGTATAGTGCTTGCCTAGCATGTGTGAGGCCCTGGGTTCGATCTCAGCACCACATACAAATAAAATAAAATAAATAAAGGTACTGTGTCCAACTACAACTTAAAAAAAAAAAGAAGAAAAAACTGTTCGAATAAAAAGATAAAATGGGCACTTTCTACCTATTTTCTTTTCCTTTTTTTTTTTTTGGATGGTGTTGGAGCTAGGTGATTCGAACATTAACCAAACCATGATGCTACACACACACACAATTTTCTGCATAGTCTTAGTGAAATTACTAAGCTTGCTATTCCTAATTTCCTTTTTCCCCATTCTTTCTTATTCATGAAGAACTGCTGTTTCGGGGTTAAAGTTTTATACCAAAATTAAACTACTAAAAATAAGGGAAAAATTTCAGAGAAACAGGTAAGAGAGATGATCCACATCAACAGGCTAATTTATAGAGCTATTTGTGGTACAAAATCTCCCTGGGCAGAGCTAATTTGCTAAAAAGTCATTTTACCTTTAAAAGTTGCAAAAGCCAGGAGGGAGGAATAAGCTAGGAATTTCACACAACAGAAAGAATGCTGGTGAACCTGGAGTATATAGGGATAGGTCATGAAAGAACCTGAGGTGAGGATGGGGGTGGCAGGAAAAAACAGATTCAGAGAGCCTTGAAAGGAGACTAGGTTTTCTTCTAATTGCAGCAAAAAGCCACTGCAATGTTATAAACAGTGATGATAACACATGATACAGCTCTTTAAAAGAAAAGCACACTGCCTGCACTGCAAAGTATGATGGTGACTTGGGCCAGCAGGGAGATGCTGACAAGTGGCCAGACTGAGTGAAGACTTTGAAGGAAGGAAACTGAAAGTCTGAGGGAAAAGAGAAAGCAAAGGTGGCATCTGAAATTTTATCTTGAGCATCTGGAAAGATGGTGGTCTATTTCCTAAAATGCTAAAGACTAAATGAAATAACATGTACAAGGAAAGGAAGGTTTCTCTTTTGGACATGTTCAGTGCAAGATGTAAATAAAAAATTCAAGTGAGATGTTCAATTAACTGATATATATCTGCAATCTAGGGAAGAGGGTTGGAAATACAAATGTGGCATAGTTATATATATATTTAATTTTAAAATCATAAAACCAGGAGCATTCACTTAAAAGTAAGGTGTTGGTAAAAAAAAATAAGGACAGAAGAGGGAGTACAAGTCCAGTGGCAGAGTGCTTATCTGGCATGCAAGCGGCCCTAGTTTGATGCCCAGCACCACAAAAAAATGAATAAAAATAAAATAAGGACAAAGACAGAGCCCACATAGGGGCTTGAGGAAAACACTGACACAGAAGAAATACCAGGAATGTGTGATATCAAAGAAGCCAAATGTGCAAGGACAAGAGTTTGGAAACACACACAGAATATAGTCTAGTGTGTCAGAGCTATTCTTTTCTTCTAGTTTTAATTTTATCCTGATTCTATTTTGCAAGTTTTAAAAGACCATTTTATTTTAAGTGTTCTTTATGTAAGGTACAAGAAAGAAGTCTTATATGGTACAAAGAGAATTATTAAAAAAGACTTCTAATATTGTTTGAACTGTTCTGGAATTACTTTCCATCCTTCTCTCTAAGAGTTAACCACTCTTTCAAAAACGATTGCCTGATTTATGGAAAAGCAGCTGTGAAAGAAGCCTAATGGAGGGGGGAAATGCTTGAAGGGTTAACTAAAAATTAAACTAACTTCCTTAGGAATGTCTACTGAACAGAAAAGTCACATGGTGATTTACGTAAAAGAAAGTTTGCTATAGCGTTACTTAAAATAGTAGAATAAATAGTAAATTGATTTACTGAACCATTTCTCCACTGTGTACCAGTTAAGGACATAAGAAATGGCTCATAACATTAATGAAAAGCAATTATTTTAAGTCTAATTTATGCTTTAAAACCTAGAAAAAAGTATACTGAAACTATTAGAAGATGAAATTACAAGTATTTTGGTTCACATCTAATTTTTTGCTTTTTCAACAAGTATTAAAATTCCATAATTAGAATTTTTTAAAGTCCTACATGTGAATCAAAAGATGCCAAGAAAGACCGTCACTCAAATGATAACACAATTCAAGCTTCTTCTCAGCAAAAGAAACAATCAGTGAGGTGAATAGAGAGCCTAGAGAATGGGAGCAAATTTTTACTACACACTAATCTTTAGGATATATCAAGAACTCAAAAATCTTAACACCAAAAAAACAAATAACCCAATCAATAGATGGGCCAAGGAACTGAACAGACAGTTCTCAGAAGAGGATACACAATCAATCAACAAATATATGAAAAACTGTTCATCATCCATAGCAATTAGAGAAATGCAAATCAAAACCACTCCTAAAGATTTTATCTCACTCTAGTCAGAATGGCAGCTATTAAGAATACAAACAACAATAAGTGTTGGTGAGGATGTGGGCGAAAAGGCACATTCATACATTGCTGGTGGGACTGCAAATTGATGCAACCAATATGGAAAGAAGTATGGTGATTCCTTGGAAAACGTGGAATGGATCCACCATTTGACCCAGCTATCCCACTCCTCAGTTTATACCCAAAGGACTTAAAAACATCTGACTTAAAAACAGCATACTACAGTGATACAAACACATCAATGTTTATAGCAGCATAATTCACAACAGCTAAATTGTGGAACCAACCTAGATGACCTTCAGTGAATGGATATAGAAAATGTGGTATATATACACAATGGAATATTATTCAGCATTAAAAGAGAATAAAATCATGGCATTTGCAGGTAAATGTAGAGTTGAAGAATATCATACTAAGTGAACCAATTCCAAAAAACCAAATGCCAAATGTTTTCTCCGATATGTGAATGCTGATACATAGTAAGGATTGCGGGTGGGGTGAGGGAGCAGGGGAGGAATGGAGGAACATTAGATAGAGCAAAGGAGAAGGAGGGGAAGGGAGGGGGCAAAGGGGTAAGAAACATGGTGGAATGAGATGGACATCATTACCCTAAGTACATGTATGAAGACATGAAGGGTGTGACTGTACTTTGTGTCCAACCAGAGACATGAAAAATTGTTCTCTATATATGTACTATGAATTGAAATGCATTTTGCTGTCATGTATAACAAATTAGAATAAATAAATAAATTTTAAAAAACAATTCTATGTGATGGAGTTTTGGGATAATCTTAACATTGCATAATTGTTTGAATTACTTTTTCCATTTTCATAACATTAGTAAGGAAATTCAAATTATGAATGTGAAGAACAAAATAAAAGTGAAAACTAACAACTTATAAGAAATTGACAAATTCCTACAAAAATCTATCTTGGCAAATTCGATCAAGGGATAAAAAGAAAAAAAATGAATATTCCCATATCTAACCACTTAAAAAATTTAGTTAAATTTTTCCCCCAAAGAAGAAAAGTGGTAGAGTGCTTGCCTAGCATGTGTGAAGCACTGGGTTTGATTCTCAGTGCCACATAAAAATAAATAAAATAAAGGTATTGTGTGCATCTACAACTAATTTTATTATTTATTTATTTTTACTTTTCCCAAAAAGAAAACACCAGTTTCAGTGGATTTATGGGTGAGACCTACTGAACTACTCAGAACCAAACAAAAACAAAACAACCAATTTTATACAAACTGATCGAAAGAGATGAGTCTGAGAGTAACATGAGAAGCTGGTTTCACTCTGATACTAAGCAAATCCAACAGTGCATTAAAAAAAAAAAATGACATATCATGATCAAGTTGGACTCAGATCAGAAAGGCAAGGTAATTTTTGACATCAGAAAAATCTAGATATATGGGCTGGGGTTGTGGCTCAGCGATAGAGTGCTTGCCTAGAGCGTGCGGGGCCCTGGGTTCGAGCCTCAGAACCACATAAAAATAAATAAATAAAATAAAGGTATTGTAAATGAATGGATAAAAAAATGAGGCATATATACACAATGGAATATTACTCAGCAATACAAGAGAATAAAATCATGGCATTTGCAGGTAAATGGATGGAGTTAGAGAAGATAATGCTAAGTGAAGTTAGCCAATCCCAAAAACCCAAATGTCAAATGTTTTCTTTGATATCAGGAAGCTGATTCATAGTCAGATAAGGAGGGGAAGCATGGGAGAAATAGATGAACTCTAGACAGGGCAGAGGAGTGGGAGGGGAAGGGAGGGGGCATGGGGTAATTAATGATGGTTGAATGTGATGATCATTATTATCCAAAGTACATGTACGAGGACACAAATTGGTGTGAGTATACTATGTATACAACCAGAGATATGAAAAATTGAGCTCTATATACGTAATAAGAGTTGTAATGCATTCTGCTATTATATATATAAAAAAGAAAGAAAGAAAAAGATGGAAAGATCTCCCTTGTTCTCAGATAAGCAGAATTAATATTGTCAAAATGAAAAAGGAAAAAAAAAGATATTGTGTCCAACTACAACTACAAAATAAATCTTAAAAAAAAAAAAAAAAAGGGCTGAGGTTGTGGCTCAGTGGCAGAGCGCTTGCCTAGCATGTGT